AATATTTCTTAGTGTGTTTTCTTTTACTGTTCTAGTTCGATATTTGTCATGAAACAAAGTAAAAATGAAGAGCATGTGAAGTAACATTGAGTAGCTACTCACGGTTCTATATTCATGAATACGCATCCCCTTATCTACTGATTATTTTATCAGCTCTATTCTGTTAATTGCAGCATCTATGAGTTATTCATATTGCTAAAGATGTATAAAAATTATTTCAAGGAACAATTCTGTATTCAAAAGTATGAGCCTTTCAGAGGAACTGTTCACTACCTTTTTAATCTTTTCTCTTCATCTCATTAATCAGAAGCAAACTCCTGCAGTATCAGGACAGGAATTAAACTTCAAAAGATGATCAAAATTTATAATATGTTTTCAAAGAACACATTAAGCAAATTAAAATTACCTGGTTTTCTGTAAGAAAAAAAAAGATCAAGCTTACCATTTATTTCCAACAACCACATATAACCATATCATGAATGAAAAAGCACCACTGTTCATTGCATGCGGTGGTTCATTTTGTATTAATTATGTAGTATTCAATAATGGTATTTATAAGTAGGGAAGAGGGGCATTATTTTGTGCAACTGAGTTTACAGTTTATTTAAAAAATGTCACAGAACCTAATTCAGTTATTGCAATGTCATAAAAGCATGTCAACTGATAAACATTAATGTTGTCTTAGAACCAGCTGATCAAAATGGATAAACTAGTTCTCCCTCTATTTTTGACAGACAGGCAACAATCCTGGGAATGAATACTGCTGAATAATTTCTTGTGTTCTCCCAGTTCTTTCCACCTCATAGCCTTCTGCTCTCCATTGAAACCTTCTACATTAACTCTTATTATATAATACATTCAAGCAAGATTAGAGAAAATAACTGTCTACCTGGAAAATAAAAAAAGCAAAATCTCCGACTGAGACATTGCAAATGGATGATTCCAAGATGAAGAATCACTTTAAATAGTTAAAAACATTTAGAGTACTTCCTGCCCCTACGTATATAATCAATCCATGTAAAAAGTAATACTAATTATGCTGTGAGAAAATGTCACAAAGAATATGAAGAATAGAAAGACAAGAAAAGTAACTTTGGGTTGTAATATCAAAGAGCAGGTGCTCAAAGCATACATTTTCAAAAGTAAAATAATCTTCAAAAAAATCAGAAATGTCTAAGTTACTGTCCATAAACTTCATGGGTCTCTTTTTCCTTCCAAAAGGTTTAATTTTTATCAATTTTCTGTTGAAACACATCCTATTTTTTCAGATTATTTCTTAAATTTGCTGAATTTATTTTCATTTATAATCCTATTTTCCAGCATGTTTTTAACCCTGCCCAGTTTGACATTATCTGGGTGCATAACATATATCCATCATTCAGAACACTGATGAAACCCTCAAACACATGCCAGATCCTTACCAGACCCTACTAGACATCTTTCCAATTTCACCATGAATCATTGGTAATTACACTTTGACACAGTCTTCCAATCATATAGGCATCCACATATTAGCAATTTCATCTCATATGCTTCCCACCAGCTTGCTAATGAAAATCTGAGACAATGTAAAAAGTTTTCCTTATTTCAATGTTACTACTGTTTTTCCCTTATGCATAAAGCCTGTTTTCCTGTCATCCAAGAAAATCAGACTTGTTTGACAAATCCCAATATTGAGTGTTAGTCCTTTTTTATATTTCCCCATATTTCTTATATTTCAGAAATAGTTAATATTTTTTAAATACAAATCATACAGTTTACAAATAATTTTCTTCTATTGTTCTTACAATATTTTTCCAGAAACCACAATAAAAATATCAAGTTTAGAATTCACTCATTTCTCACTTTCTTTTTTCCTCCCCACTCCACCCCCCTCCTTTTTTTTGGCAGGCAGCTAGATTTGCCCTTCTCCAGCCTCCTGGGAGTTCCCAAAGCTGGCTGTGAGACTAACAGCCCCGTTCAGGGTCCATTTCATCATGCACAGCCAATGTAAAAACAGTTTTTAGTGCTTCAGTATGAAACACCTGTTTTTAAAAAAGGAAGTTTCATAAGCCAGTAAACCTCAGACATGCAAGGATAGATCTATCACTTTTTAGTATAGATGTGATAGATTGCATCACTTTTGTCTTTAAAATTACAGCTTTTTGACAATTTTAATTGAAATTAGTTGTTTGAAAGAATCAATTACTATGTGGATAAGTAAGACTGACAAACTAGCTGACACAGCCAGCTTGGACTTCCAAAGCCATTCCTTCAGAAAGGCTCCTCTCCAAATGCTTACAAGAAAACTAAGCAGCAATCAGATAAGAGGGATGGTCCTTTCATACATAAATATTTGATTACAAGAGGGGAAATAGCAGAAACACATGGTCAAGTGTAAGACCAAGAGAAGGTCCCTGTGGAGTTTTGCTGGAACCTGTGCCTGGGCTTTGTGCTGCCTGACGTATCCTAAGCAACCCAGAGAACAGGGTGAACAGCAAGATGACTAGATTTCCTCATAATATCAGGTTATTCAGAGTATTAAAGAAAAAAGCCAAATGCAAAGAAGGATTTTTATAAGACTAAGCAACTAGGTAAGGGCTGGCAGATGAAATTCAGGGAGATGAATGTGAAGTTATACACAAGTGAAAATAATCCTACCTTCATGCATAACAAGCTGGGATCTAAACTGATTAAAACCACTGGTGAGATTCTTCAGCTGTGATAAATATTTTCATTAAAATATTAGCTCAGTACTCAGTAGCAATAAAAAAAAGTAGTCATCCAAAGCTAGAAAGAACAAACAAATTGAGTGTTGGGAGTTGTTTGGAGCAACATACAGAATAAAAGTGTAAATACTATAACATCAATGCATAACCCATTTTACACCTGTATTATGAAAAACATGAGCCATTTTGGTCTCCTCAACTCAAAAAAAAGAAAAGTAACAGCTCTGAAAAAGATTCAGAGGAGAATCAAAGAAATGTCCCAGTTTCGTGAAAGGAACACATGGTAAGATTCTCCTGTCTGGAAAAGAGTTGAGGGAGGATGGTGACCTATAAAATCATAGGTGGCACTGAGACTGGCACTGGACATCAACTATTTAATGTTTCTTCCAGTACAAAGAACAGGAAATTCTAGCAAAAGCAGCCAAAGTTTAGTGCAGAAAACAATTGAAAAGCAGTGGTTCTTCACATCACATGTTAAGCTGTGGGATTCACTATCATAAGAGGTTATGGACACCAGAATTCTACATAGGTCCAAAAGCAACTGGCTTAATTCAAGGAAGAGTCCACTGAGAGTTAAGCACACAGAAACTGTAGCTAGATCATAAAAAGTACTCAGTGGAGATATCACTGTATACTAGGTCTATTCTATGAACTTTTGGACATTGTTAGCAATAGAATACTGGGCTACCCAGTGTTTATGTTATTTTATTCTAGAGTAAGACTTCATGTTAAATATACAGATAGGGTAAAATACATTCTTTTTGTCTTTTGTTAGGTTCACCCTTACAAGAAAATAAGAGCACTTGTTAAAAAGATGTAATCTTCCATGAAGTGAATGAATAGGAGGACTCAAAACAGATTTAATTTACTTTCCCCTCAAGATGAAATAGCTTTTAGGGAAAAAAAAAAAAAAAACACACAAAAAACCCCACCAAAAAAAACCACGTAACCACTTTGGCAGGTGACAAAGTCTCTAAACACCAGATTTAGATACCAAATGCTAATACAAGATATTAATGTGACATTTCCGTAAGAAAGGCTATCAAAACAGAGTGTATCAGAATATTCCTCCTACTGCTAGGGTGACACCAATGATCATGATTAGAAAGTTTAACCATTAAAGCTTTTGAATAGCAGAACCTCCACCAAATATGTTTTTGATAATAATTGGTTCTAGCAGCATCCTAGTGCACCTACTATAAATAATATTCAGTAACTATTACTGCCAGTCTGGATATACAAGTTATACAAGAAAATAGTAAATTCACTGTACTGAATTCCCCATCAAGACCCAGTTTCACACTGAAGCAACTGGTATAAGGCTTGTTAGTTCCATAGACATTCAGGTTCACAACATGTCTAAGAGGTGGAAAGTTTGGTGAGAAGCACCAATGATCACAAACTTGGAAGTAAATTAAAAATTTCAGTTATTGCTGCCTGCCAGCAAAGAAGTTTAGATTGGGAATCTAGAAGTGAGAGAAACACAGGATTGTGTTTTTGTCTGGGGGAAGTTAACAGATGGTCTAAAAAGGAGCAGCTTTAAAATAAGACCAGCAGCCAAAAAGTGTGTGGAAACAGCAATATGAGAATTTTTTTGATCTATTCTGTGCCGCTGTTCTGTATAGCTTTGTGAAATAGCAAAGAGTCTCAAAGCTTGACCTTATAGCTTTATTCACCCAGATTAAAATACTTCAATCTTTTTATAACTTTGGGAAAAGAATGTTATGTTGTGAATAGAAGTATTTAAAATATATATTTGCAAGATGCTCTTTTTCTAACTCACAGGTGTTTTCAGCAATGTTTCAGAGACAACTTCAACTTCATTCTGTAACACAGAATTACAGAAGGTTGCATGTGTGGATTTAATATCACATCTTCTTTTAAAAAACCTGGGCAGCCAAATCCCTATACAGCTCATACAAAATATGCCTCTAGATGTTTATTTATACTTTTGCAGGGATAGCTTATTTACTTCTTCAGAAAAGGTTAAATATATTTAGACTGTTGCTGCAAAAAAGCACTAGAGAAAGCCTCAAAAATAAGAAAAAGGGTAGTGACAAACAATCATTCTTTTCAGCTATAGTGTGAAAGAATGCTGCATGAAGGAAATTATAGCCTGCATTCACATTCATATTAATGTGCTTTCCTACTGTTTAGCAAAGGCAGATAGATCAAGACATACAATTCTTGTTGTAAATGTTAAACTTATTCCAGCATAGGATACAGTACCATAAGCAAAACATCAGGTACTTAGCTGTAAATCAACAGAAAGGAGCTTTCAGAATTACTTACTTGATTTTCTTCATGGGAAACTCTCATTTGTTCTTTAAGAACTGACATTCTGGCTGCTTCTTCTTTCCTCAATACTCTTTCTTTCTTTAGCTCAGGACTCCAGAAAGTTTTGATGCTGTTCATGGAGGATCCCAGTTTGCTGTCCTTAATGTCTAGTTCTTTTCTGAGAAGATCATTCTCCCTCTGTAGTTCCTTAAGCTGAGCCTGCAGGTCTAACATGGTACTATCTCTAACTTGTCTCAGCATAGAAGGAACCTGATGGTGGTGATGGTGTGAAGATGTAGTCAGACCTCCATGCTGATCAGTATAAGAAAGGACATCTGTGTGCGAAAGTCCAGCTGAAGCAATATTAGGACTGCTCCCCATAGCTGTGACTCGACCACCATACACAGCTCGATTTGTAGCCCTTCCAAGAGTCATTGTGCCCTTTGGGAAAGTAGTAGAAGCTACACCTTCATGGTCACTCAGATACATTGGTCCAGATGTTGCATAGGCTGCATTAAGGGACTGGATATTCTCCATCGATAACGTCTTACCTGTTCCTCCTCCTCCTCCGCTATTTGTTCGCCTATGGCCCAGGCGAGGAGATCTTGGCAATCGAGGAGACCTGGAGGGACTTCCTTCTAAGTTGCTGATTGTTCTTGCACTTCCATACATTTTTCTTCTACTTTGAGGTACTATTTAGTAAGAAATCAGTAACACTGAAGTTGAATATTAAATTTATAATTCCAGATAGAAATATTGGCAGTTTCACTGCATTCTTCCAGTAGGCAAAAATCTATTGTTTCTCCAAAGTCAGAGACCTGAAAAAATATATTATAAAATTAATTAAATTTTCATATTGGAAAATAAGTTTACAAGTAATCAGCATATATGAGAAAATAAAGTAACGCACATCCTAGGGCAATTACTTCAAGAACAAAATTTACTGCACTTTTTGTGTTTAGGATGACAGTTAAAAATGCATTTTCAAGCTAATTTCATTCAGGTGAAAAAACTGCTCTTTTTCCTACTAGAAAATATCTTGACATTTTGACTTAGTCTAACAAGCTTTATGTTGCAATAAGCAACATGGGCCCAAAAACATCTTAGCTGATATGTTAATAGCCTCAAATAATTGACGATGTGGAACTATATAAAGGAAAAAAAAAATAGCTGTTGTTGACATTAAGAACTTCCCAAACTAAGATATTACATTTTCAAAAGACAGTATAAAAGTAGCAATTCAGCAGTTCTGTATATTCTCTAATAATATTAGATTAAGACAGAACAAGGAAATAGGCAGGGGTTTTAATTTTTGTTTAAATTTACAAAGAGTTTTTTGGATAGGAAAAAAGATGAAGGAAACAGTGTTTCTAATAGTTTGGCTGTAACCAGTAAAAATGTATTTTAGTAAGAAAAATAAACAATAAGACTAAGCTAATTTGAGTGAATATTTCCTTCTAAACAATTATAATGTATTACAACAGTATTATACGTTCAATGAAGTACTAGCTTGCTAATAATTGTTGTTAATGAGCTTGTCAGGAAAAGGTTGCATGACAATAACCTAGGTTTCCACTTAGAAAAGGAGTGCTTGGGAAATACTTTTTTTTTTTTCTTATTTTCCCTATGGATATCATACCATTACTTTGATAGAACTATCCTTGTAATTTATTTAACCAAACAACAGACAGATGTGGACCAATTCAAATTCAATACCATCATCATACATTTACCAAGTTTCAAGTAAGTTTAACTGTACATAGCATAAATAGAAACATACAGTAGGACTTCAGGATTAGGTAGGCCTACTGTTTTGGGGGGGTTTGTTTTTGGTTTGTGGTTTTTTGTTTTTTTTTTTAAAACAAATCTGACTGTTTCAATACATTTGTGATATTAATTAAATTGGTGGTCATTAACCAGATCTAGTACCATTTATTTCAAAGGTAACTAGAGGAAGAACAAAAGTTGGATTCAGTCAAATCCAGTAATCTTTAACCATACCCTCAAAGTCATCCTCAGTATCTACAGACAGATTATTTCCAGGTGTTTTAAAACATCTGTTCAACATTTGCTGTGAAAAAGTGTTGACACAGAGGCAAGCGGAAGGATGATTTGATGTCATATTTATTAATAAGCTCTAGTATATTAAATCCTCGCCAATAATATTAGCATAAAACATCATGGATACCAATTATGTCAATAAACAAGGAGCATACTGAATTCTCCACTGACCCCTCATCCCACACAATCATATACCACATGGCTTATATAAACTCTAAGAATTGCTTGGTATATGCTACGTTTTCATCAAGTTTAAACTGCCAACATAGTCTAAAGCATTTTTGTTTCATTTGAATTACCAGTATGCATGTGGATTAGCTGAGATGTTTCAACTACTATTATACAACAGTGGCCATTCTTGTTAATATTCACCTCTTCCCCAAGAGGTCACAAGACTCTTGTGTCAAGAATCAGAAGTGGAAGGCACAGCACTACACTACGCTGAAATGTTGATAACAATGCCACTATAGGTGCTGGGCAAAAATATATGAGTATTCAACATTGATAATTTGGAAACACTGAACTCTTTGTACTGCACCCAGGCTGCTCCGTTAAAAGTAATTCATTTCAATGCAAACATTGCCCTTGGCAAAATGGATCAAACAAGCTAACATAATATAGTTTGTATGGAACAATGTTAACAAGACCAGTAATTCTGTCATAAAACATTACCACTTTTTGCCATGTACAAACAATTCGGCTATGCATAAAGTGAAGCAAGGGTGCCTACTTCAATGAGAAAATTTAGTTTTTAACTATTTAGGAAGACATAGATACAAAATTACATTCTAGCAATTCTTTCCTGCTTCAGGATCACGTAACTCAAATAACATGAATATTTTTAATTCCAGAGGCAAAAGCCTGATCCAACTTTTTGAGCCATGAAAACCTATTAAAGCTTCCAGAGTTCAGGCCCAAGGTGCACAGATTTAAAGGAACCAGATGTACCTTGCCGATTTGCATTTTCAAATTTTGACATTTCATCATTAGTATCCAAATCTGTCCCCCTTTTCAGTTGTCATCCATCCTTCAAGAGATGACCCACAGCTTGTTCCACAAAAACCTGGTGCAGCTTTTCTGTCATCTCGACTTCAATGCATTGATCAATAAAAACCATATCTCATGGTGACTGGGGACAGTGCAATTGCTTATCCCAATTCTCAAGTGCCAGCCGTCCTCTGGCCAAACACCACTCATAATGCACTCTGAGAAATCCATCCTTGTATATTTCTAGTTTCCTGAAAAAGTTCTGTAGCTCCTTCAAAGAGGATCTCACATGAGATCAGAACTGAAGATGATTTTCCTTCCACAGGCTCATGGAAGATCCTGAGCAGAAGCAACTGTCTTCTAGACTGATACAATTTCCCCCCTCCCAAAAAAAATCTGGCCTGGTGAAAAATCTAAGATTGACATTAACAGTTTATGCTAGCAATTTAAACTGGATACAATAAAATATTTTTAGATACAGCAGACCTGATCCATGACCAGGTGATGGGTCTTGGTGCAGATTTATTGATCCTCAAACATGTAGGTATAGGATACCCTTACATCATATCAATACTGTTTTTCCTTTCCACTGCCACAGTGATAAATAAGTAATTTATGCTTCTTCCTTTGAGTCACTTAATATACTATTTAGCCTTTCTGTTTATGTGTCTGATATGTATTTTTAGGCATTTGTTTTGCCTTTTAGAGTTTATTAGTTGTGGTCTGTCTTCTTTTCTCTACTTGTGTGAGATTGAGAAGTTCCCATCTCAAAGCAGAGAACACTTATCGTGCTTAGCACTCCAATTCTTACTATTGAGCCCTACTGAAAAAGGGAATCATCATCCCTCATCCAAAGGGAGGCAAACTCCTCTCTGGACTTCTTTAATAAATGTTCACATACTGATTTAAAACTAACTTTTATACGCCTGTGAAAATTCTGTAAACAACAGGAAAAGAGAAGTAAAACACCACCAACCAAAGAAATGTTATTACCTCCACAGCATTTAATTATTATTTTCCCCCTAAAAATATTCTAATCAAGATGGAGACATCTATGTAGAAAGTACAAGCACACTGACAATATGCTTGGTTTTCTTAATTTCACAGGCTACTAAGGATAGCTGACAGACCAAAAGCCGAAAATCCTGATTCGAAGAAATTCTTACAGTTTATCTCTGTTTTCATTTGCAATTCATTACTTTCTACAACCTCAATTATAGAGACTGGCTTTCTTGCAAACACCTTGGAAAAAGGAAAGCACATGAAAGTGCGCTTTCTGGACGTGTATACACCTTAAGGATAAACCTTGAGCCTTCCTTTATGGCTGTGAAAAGTCTCAGACACAGTAGAAACCATATACCATTGCTTTATGGAAGACAAAAGAAAAGCACCTACATAATTTTTGACTCTTTACTGCTTACACACAGAGCCTTCCTAGCTTCAGGAAGATTTACTGTGTGTCTCAACACATCAGGAATTGGAGGCATGAAGAAGTAATATCAGCCTCAGGGCCTCAACAATTGCCACACAGATCATCATCTACTGCCTGGAGAAAAAAAGAAAGAGAAGAGATCCCTTCTCTCATCTTCCCATAGAACCTGCTGACACAGGGCTGTTCTAGTTGAACTTGGAGTGGGCAGGTGAGATATAGATGATTCTATCTTGAAAACTAAATTGATTTTTTTATATTGCTATTTTAATTGGGTGGGGAGGAGGAAGAATTATTACTCTAAAGCAACCATTTTTCACCCAGTATTTCAAGGATAGTTTTGCTGAACTAAAGCATAACCTTTATGCACCATAGTGCAAGGGGTGGAGAAAAAGATAAATTGAATCAAGCAGAAACATAAGAATCTCATATATTATGGGGAGTATGGGAGAGCTGTATAGACAAGATCAGTATACCCACAACTGAAGAGACCAACCCTCCCTCTTGATATAAGCCCAGAAGCTGTAGATGTTGCAGCAGCAAGCACAAAGGAGCTCTGATACAACTCATGAAGGTTGTATCCCCCTAAAAACTTCTGAGACAAAGTCACCCAGATTCATTCAGTCTGGTCTGGGACAGACTGCAGACCCACTGCGTGCATTTTTCTACAGAAAGTTATTTTGAGTTTTAAAATCCAAATCAGCTTAATAGTACTCGGAAAAAAAAAAAAAACATACACTCATCTACTTGTCTCAATATTTTTCTTACTTCAAAAAATATTCTGATGTACGGTAATGTATGACTTAAAAGCTAACCATTACAATTGTGACCTTAATGGTTTGCACTGCAAACAAAACTATATAAAAGGCTCCAGAAAATTAAGCATGCATTGTCAGCAGGGTGGGGGAAGGGGGCAGTAACTAGACACTACCCCCCCTGCCACATTCTCATCAGTCTTGAAAATCCCAGCAAATAAGAAATACTCTATTTCATGCTAAAATACTTCCCGGTGACTGTTCTAACTTAGGCTTAGCTTATTTTCCACATTTCTGCTTCATCTCACCACCTGCGCTCTGCAGACATCACCATCATAGGTCATTTCATTTGCCTTTTAACTATTTTTATACACACTTAAAATATAGGATTATAATATGATGCTAATGAAAGGTCTGTCTCACTCAATTTACTTTCCAAATGCATTTTCTTCTACATTTTACATAATTACACAGTTTCCTTGAAACACTCTTTGCAGAATCCCATAATTTCTGGCTTTCACCAGCTACATACTCTCACCCCCCCGCCCAAAAAAACCCCAATTAATTTCGTTAGGCTATTTAAACA